ACCTCCTATAAATGAGAAGTTTCAGATTACCTTTTTTGACTTCACTAATTGCCAAACATGTCTGGAGCATCAGCTGGGTTATAAGAATCAATTACACATCATGTAGGTTAATTTTGACCATTGGTTCCTCCAACATATATGATTGGATAAGGTTTTTCTCATGAGGACCACAAATATATTATCCTGACCAACACTACAGTTTTACAGTGCAGATTTATTTTACGACTTCGTGCTATTCGAACGCGAAAACTGATCCCCAGGAAAGAGGTTACTCACTAAGTTTCAGATAACAATCATATTCTAGAACCCAGACATGTCTAACAACACCCGTTGCTGCGACTTTTTGTAGACATGAAAGCAGAGTTTGGTTTCATTGAGTGAATTTCTGACAAAATCTGTTTCTAAATTGGTTTCCTGGCTAATGTGTCACATGGCTGGCGGCTGTCTTCTGATAGACTCTACCTTGTCTTCTGACATGATAATAAAAAGTGGTGTTTAGTTCATTTCATCGGCACCATATCCATAAGCTATTCAGTTTTTCACCAACTTTCAGCGCACTTATTCGCTATTTAGTTGCTTTCACTTTATTGACAACAATCATTTTAGTTCATATCACATAATTATTTCTTCGCGCAATTATTCGAGGTACCCATATTGGGTTTCACTGATTATTTTATTAATTTAAAGTCCAGTAACCAGGTAATTCTGCTGCACTTACTTGGTCTGTCAGTTGAAGGAATAAGTTTTGATCCGAATAAGTTGATACCAACCTCAACAGCGTAGAAAATAAGGTTTTCAGAAGACGCCATCTTCAAACTACAAAATACAGCTGGAATTTATATAAATCCCAACTTTTAAAATTCACGTTACATTACCTTAATGATTATTTCTATCTTTTACAAAAATTTTTTATCTTACCGACTTCTCTTCATATTTCTGATATTGAACATGACCAAACTGCATCTTGTTGTATCTTTACACTCAATGGTGTGAAGAATCTATAAAATACTATCTGTTATCACCCATCCACTAATTCTAAGCTGTTGAGCGTATGCATTTGTGCATGTATGTCCATGAATGTGAAGAAATACTGTTTGTTAAATTATCCATTGAGGTCACTCACTAACTGCATAAATCATTTTGAAACTCGGTATCTGAAATGAGACCAAATACTGAGAAGGTTTTGATGCGTGAAATATTTCCAAAGTATTTGTGCGAAATAGGATACTGTGAGATATGAAATCCATCAGAGCTTAAGGAATACTGAAGAGTCATTGTCTTCACTGATGGTTACAAATTTTCATGGTTATTTCAAATATGAAGATGATTGTTTTAATCTTCGCCATAGTGGATTGAAGTAACTATATTTAAGCTGCTTCTGACACTCGCATCACACTTGATTGACTATTTGCTTTGTGAAATCTAGTTTGCAGTAACAACGATTTGTACATACGTGATTTCATTAAAAATTACGAGTATTGATACGAATTAATTAAGAAATTTAATAATTCCCACTGTAACATTAAGAATGAGATATTTAGCGAAGAGACTATTTTCAACTAATTTATTCTCAAGCTGTACATTCATATACTTATGATATTTGAAAACTATGTCCGTTGAGGAAAATTTAACATGTTATGGTAACGATAGTAATAATAATTATAGTGATAATGACAGAAAATTTGAAATTATGATGACAGTTGAAGTGGGAATGACAGCAAATAGGTTATTTAACACAGAATCGTTCATAGAATGTGTGTAACTCAGAAAAAGGTGTAAAGTTGATACGAGTTGCAAATCAATAAAGTATTCTGTAATTGGACTGGACACTTTGATGAATATGAAATGAGATTTTTCTGAAAAGATTAAGTCCACTGAATGACATAACACTGGAAACCATGTAAAGTTAAGGTATATAAGCAACAATACTACTGATGAAGGAAGGATATTGAGACTAATTTAGCAAAGGAGGAAAACTAGTGGTGGTGGAAAAATATTGCGGGTACGCTGAAAACTGTACATACCTCTTTTATACACAAAGATCAGGCCGTATTTCATGAACATCTAAGGCCTCCTATGTTTTAAAGAGTTGCAAACAAAGAAAACACGAGAGATTTGGGGTACTTGATAAACAGTTTTGAAATCATTTTCTAAGATTTTTGAGTGATGGAAATCAATAAGATGTCTTAGAACAGAATTTAAAGATGACCAGGGATCAGATATACTTAAGATTGGTCCATGCAAATCAATCAACAGAATGTATTTTGTAGCAAAAATTCAATTGAATTTCACCAACCGGAAACTGTTCTTCATTTGCATGAAGGATAATCCCCTTCATCTACTCTCCTCTGTATACATCTGCCAGTTCACCTGCTGTTGTTGAGAAAGACGGATCAATCATAGCCATAGCATATTCCAGTTTGGTTTTATAAAGGTGAAAAAAGTCTACCAGAAGTTATATTTTACGGTTTCTGATAGCAGCAGGAAAGAATAAAAAACTAGTTTCCTTTCTTCTCCTGCAGTTATGAAATTCATGCTTACCGATTTCTTATTCTGTCTTTTCGACTTTCCAAACATCAGTGGTAGTTATTTAATAAATCTCTTCTTGACTGTCTTGTCCATATTCATTTCAGTTCATACAAAACATCTTTTTTCGATATTCAATTTGTTTCCCAAATTTTATTTGATCACTTTACCATCCGTAAAAAGCAATCTAAGTCAAAATCGTGTTTATGAAAGCAGCATCTTTAGTCAAATGAAGTAATCATTGGGCAAAAAATGTAGGGATTTTTATCCATCGAAGACAGTGTTATTTATTTTCGTGTATATGAGTGACAAAGACAATCACTTGGTACTTAGAGAAAGGTATCAATTTGCCAGTGAACTAAATACTTTCACTGGAAAGAATTTGCTAAAAGGTTTTTGGATAATTCTCGTACAGCTGTATGTCACAGTGTGGCCACCGTCAGCAAGAAAAAATTCCTGTATCTTGTGGGACGAGAAGAATCTTACACAGTTTGAGCGGCATTTGTATGTGATATATTGATGCCAGTCATAAATGTCCCCAATAGCTGGTGCCTGAGAGACTAGTGACACTGTCACGGTGCTCGAGGTTACTCATCGGCTCTACTTAACTCAGGCGTTAGGACCAGAAAGTTAGTTTCTTAAAAGCAATTTAAATAGACAGTCACGTGTAAAGATATGTACTCTAAACGATCACTGCCAGCTTTTTGAACTATAACATAGGGAAAGGGAACCAGTTTGATTCTATTATTTCTATAGCGTTATTAGAAGACGAAGATTATCCGGAAAATGTGATATATATATATATATCAGATAATCTTCGTCTTCGAATAACGTTATTGAAATTTACTAAAGGGACTAATTGTTTCTACTATTTCTGTTTTCAGTGTGTAGGTAGTGCAGTTTTTGTCTGAAATAGTCTTCACTGCTACTGTCAAAATGCTAAGTTATATAAGATGTCCCCTACCAAGTGATTTAGAAACGTCTGGAGCATAACCAGGATAATCATAACTGACTGAGTTATGCTGAAACTATGCATATAAATTAGGGTGGCCGCCTTTGGTGTTTGAACCTTTTGATGCAAATCGGACAACAGACAGGTTTGTTCACGACCTTGCTAAGCCTTGCCTTTGATGTGCATGATCTTAGAAATCTGCATAAAAGATTCCAGTGACACACTTCGAATAGCTACTTCATCTGTCAGTTCTAAAAGTGTGTTTGCCGCTCGATTATCTTGAGACCTTGCGGCATTAGCAGCCGGTGTCGCTAATATTGGTGTCCCATTGAGTGTTTAAGCTGAAGCTTTACTAGTTGGCTGAATCGCCATGAACATTCATCGATGTGCTGTTAGACCAGAAGGCTTGATTAGAGTGAGAATTATCTGAAAAGGGAAAGGATGTCACTTTGTCACTTCCATCTATGCCCCAACTGACTGCAGTCTGGATGGAGTGAAAGTGAAGTATAGCGTCACTTGAGTGAGCTTCTCAGACAAGTGTGCTAAACAGATATTGTAGTGCTAACTGGAGACTTGAACGCAAAGATTGAGTCTAGGCTCAGAGGAGAGTCATTTAAATACCATGAAAGTAGCGAATAAATCTGTTTGTAGCTTTCAAGAACTTCTTGTCAATAAATACTGAGTCTATGTGAACTCCACGCTCCTTGGTGTATTCTGACAGAAAGGGAGTATAGTGATATCAGTAAGTCCATCACGCTTTGGATTAAACAGTATTTGCGTAGGGAACGGGGCGGCCTACTGGTCAGAATACGCGAGTTAGGTGAAAACGGTAGTTGCATCTGGCATCAGTCGTACGTTACTCCGACACATGTGACCCACTGGCTGCAAGAAGCTTAGTGTCATTGAGGGGGTCTGTGAAGTAGATAACATTCTAATTCACAACATTTTTGGATGCATGAAACACCGGTTAGAGTACTTCGAAAAGAAGTTTAGTTAGCCTATCACTACACCAACATCCACCTCAATGGCTTATACCTCACGGTTAATTAACACCGATTCACCTTGCGAAGAGGAGGTTCGTAAGCAACTTCAAGTAGTAAAATGCCACAAGGCACCCAGCCCAGACAATTTATACCCAGTTCTTTTTAAGGGTGTAGGTTGTAAGGTTGTAGTCGAGAAACTGATCTTATTGTTTGGAAATATACGGCAGATAAACCATTTCGTTACACCGGAATGAAGCGATTTTTGTGCCCATCTTTAATAAGAGTCTACCTAAGGTATTTCATACTCACCAGAGTATCAGTTCGGGTCTTAGTGGGGACAACATCGCTCACTGGGGTGGCAGCTACATGAAGCTGAAGAGTCCAGAACAGAATGAAACGCGTATCCTGCATTCCACTATCCTTCATTAATATCTTTCCTTACTCTTTACATCAGTAACGATTTAATAATCGTGTTAAATGCCACTCATCTTACAAAGTTCATTTTCTTTTTCCTTTTTGTTCTAAATTTTTGTAAACAGGTCTGCTGGTTTGATAAGAGAAGCTATCAGCAATAACACATTTCTGATGCATTTAGATCAATCACAAATAGAAGAAATCGTAGCCTGCATGTATAAAAAACAAATTCCTCAAGGATGCTTTATCATACGTGAAGGTGAACCAGGCGATGCATTGTATGTCGTATCAGGTGGGATGACTTTGTTTATTAAGTATTTGTTTTGAAAATATGTTCTTTCTATTGGTTTCAGTAAATAAGGATTATTTTATTGGTATTGTGATCAACAATGTTTGAAGTGATGGACTTCTGTATTTTAATCAATGATGGTGATACAAACTTTACCTCTATGTACTACAAGTAAGGTTACAAGCAAACTCTTCAAAATATTATGCCATCATAAAAATTGGTCGGTAAATTGTACTTTATTCAAAGTTGCTTCTCCGTTAGTTTACAGAATGAATATTTTAGCAAGCACAATGAATTATTTCTACACTATGTGTTGATTTCAAGGTTTTCGTACCGAACCAACGCTGTTTGCAGAATTTTCAAAGAAATAAGAGGCATAGACTAACAGTTTTCTTTTGGTGAACTACAGTGTCAACTTTTGTACACTCATGACCCCATATTGAGTGAAGTGTAAGCGGAGGCTTATTGTGAGTGGTGTTATTTCATGATGAAAAGTACTTTGAATTCAACAAACGTCCCACTTTGACGAGTTTTCTGCAAAACAAGATAATTTTGTAAGTGAACTGAAATGTAGATTTTGAACTGACGAGAGTATAATATAATTCTTTCTAATTTAAGCGTGAGAATACTTGCTAAAATTGTTCTAAGGAATATCCTATTTTAACTCAAAAACTAATCCACTTATGCTCTGGAATCTCTAGTTAAGGTGCACTCTCACTACATCTTATTTTAATAATAGAGCTGGTCTAAAAGGATTTCGACAAATTTCAGTTTCTCTTGAAATTTAAGACTTATCTTTATGATATCTTTTGATGGATATTCAGCTTACGTTAATTATCTTGTTAGTCAAACGTCAAACATCGATCTTATCAACCTAGAAAAACTGAACAGTTTATCTCATAAAAACACTATTGAAAGGTTTCACAGCTCATGATATAATCATGAAAAATGCATCCATTTTGTATATGAATAAATCTCTAACACATAGGTGTTTCTTATGGGTTATGAATTGAGTTTGATTGTTTGTTAATACCACTATTGGTATTATCATTGTTTGATAATTGACTGTTGTCATACATTATCATGGTTTGGAATTAAATGCGAATAAATAATAGAACTCTAATGCAATCTACAAATATTGTAATGATTTTGCGTACAAGTACTGTATGATACCTTTTTATTTCTCTGCTGAACATATCTATTCAACCGTATACATAGAGTTTACGAAAGCTTACGGGTTACTTGTTTCTACGTTAGCGAACTTAATATGCATAAGTTCATTCATTCTTCACATTTTATTATTCCCTAAAGGATCGTTAACTAGCGATTAAACCCCCATTTTCATAATTCATAACTCTTTTGTCTACTACAACTTTGCACATATGAATCCTCAACAGTTGGAAAGTTGTATGATAATTCCTTCTAGTGGTTTTTAGTGTGAAACCGAAAGTTTTGAAATTTCAACCTGAATGAAACAGCATATATATCTCGATATATATCTCGGAGCTTCTCACTATTTAGAAATATACCGTTTGCTATTAGATACTCAAAATCGATAAAGAAGAAGTTATGGAGATGAATTTTACGCTCACTGGCACTCATCAGTGAAGTGCGTCTGCAATTTTGAGGGGATAAGGTGTGCAGTGGCTTTAATCAATGCTCTACTGAATCATGTCTTTTGTCTTTTAGCTGAATCAGTAAGCAGGATGTCAGTTAAAATTTCAAGCAAAAACTATCCCCTGATATTATATCATTTCGTCAGTCAGCAGTTACGAGATATGTAAGAAAATACTATCTGCAGTTGGCTAACTGGCTTACAGCTCAGCTAACTGTTCTGTGGGTTTCTTAGATAGTTTGAGAATCCTGGTTTGAATTCATGCAGTTATCAGACTTCGAACATAGTTTTTATACTTCTTGGTATGGTTACATACTTTCTCAAGTTGTTAATATACGTCTTTAGTATACAGTCTACTGCATTCATTCTAGTCAACCGCCTCTGCCTAAAGTTTCATATTGATTTACGAGTGACTTTAAGGGCCATCCTAGCAACAACTGGGCTAACTAATCAAACTACTTCATTTTATGAAAATTTGACTTTCCAACCGAAATGAAGAAACCTAATTGGCTATTTCAATCGTTGCTTGGGTGGGCTTTAAGTCGCTCAATTTACTCACTAACAGTAAACTGTGACTGCAGGTCGGTCTGGTTTAACTAAACATTAGTGACAGTAAAATTTGAAGATAACTAATCAGGTCGGGGGTGACTTATACAAGCTATTTGTTGCGTCCATTTACCGTGTTGCTGACACTGCATAAACTTTCAGAGTACCTTTAAAGGCTAGCTAAGCGACTGACGAAACAGCTGATCATATTTCTCTATTTCATGAAAAATTATCTTCTCAGCCAAAATACCACAACTTGATTCGTTGTTTTGGCAGTTGTCAGGGTAGCTTTCATAGTCGCCCAACTTTCGATGAGCTATGTCGAAGATTACGTTGCAGGTTGTATGTGAAATTTGGTAAAGTAGATAATATGATTGCGATAGATGAATGTCTTGTTTGGAAACTTAAATATAACCTAGAAAGATGACTGAAACAGGACTGGGTAAGTCAAAACTTACCCAAGATATGGACACATCCATATGCCTTGGCAAACGACAGATTCGTGGTATATACTACCAAAATGCGAAGAAAGGACATTTATAGTGGATAAAGGATGGTTCAGAAAAATCTGTTCAAACAGTTATGCAAAAATGTGTGCCATTGGGTACCATAATACACACGGATGCTTGGAAGTCATATGTGCTTCTATCTGTAATGGGTTGCCCACATCAAACTATTGTCCACAAGAAGCACTTCGTTGCTGGAGTACACACAAACAACTTTGAAAATGTGTGTCATCTTAGGAAGTTTTGAGAGTTTTAATAGACTCACGATGGGAAATTTCCTAAATAAGTTAATGGTGCCATTTAAATGACAGTCTCATATGATTTAGGGGCAATGAAGGCGATGGTGTGATTTCAAAAATAAACTTATTTGAAATCTAGATATCTTGATTTCTCATGTAAAACAATAAAAAGTTGCAAATCAGGTATTATTTCCTCTAGTAACTATGTTGTCCTTCATATTCCTGATTCTGATTGGTCAGTGGATACTTGAATATGATTCGCCGTCACTAAAGTTTCTTTGAACCTATTATCCATATTATAATAATGTACATTATCTATTTAGGAAGCCAACATACAATTACGCCTTGCTTTAGTACTCGTTATGTACTCAGAAATCTTTTCTTTTTTAAAAATCTTGGTATGAAGATGAAGTATTTAAGAATAGACCATTCCCATCACAAAAAAGAACCTTCTCAAGACATCCTCCCAAGTTACAGCTTTTCTCTAGCAAATGTGTGACACAACTTAGAGATTCGTAGTGGTTGTTTCCTTTCAAGGTGATCTTCATCATGAACTTGCATCAGTTGACGAACTATTGAAAACCTGGAAGCAGCTGTTTTTCACTAAAATGGGATTTCTCAGAAGTGCTTGCCCACAACCCTAACTGGTGTCCACCGCAGAACCCTTAGGTCTCACAGCGAGTACGTCAACATTCTGCTAGCACAATTTCGTGAATCAGAGCTCCCTTATTAATAGTTCCCCAACTAATGTAAGTCCATGATGAATTTTCCGAAGTTCTAAGGAGAGCTCGTGACCTTTTGGATCAACCAGGTCCGGTGTGTGGATAAATACCTGCCTATGACACTGGATTATAGTTGGGGTATTTCACGAATTGGAAGTCGTAGAAAAATGTAGATCATTGAATCCCTAATCAGTGGCTGAATTGTAATGTACTGGCCGTGAGACCTGAAGGCTGTGAGTTTGGTTGGCAACAGGGTTGTGCGTGCGTACTCCTGATGAGCTCCATGTCAGAACGAAAAAGTCTTCCAGTACTCCCAAGTTTGTCATGTTTCAGCAACTGATGTTAGTCCATGACAAATATCATCCTGATATCTTTCATATGATGAGTGAACGTTTGAGCTAAATCCTCTATATTGTGTTTACTATAGGTTTTCACAGAGAGGTTTGTTGGGGTTGTATAACTACTGAACCATTTAGTGAGTGTGAGATACCATGTGTTTAGACATATTCTGAAGTATTGTGATACCCTATTCATGAAGTGATACAGGACTTACACAAGGTGAAAGCAGAGTAGATACGATGCTGGTTATATTCTTCCTTTCAATCATCAATAAAACAGTCTTCTTGGTGTTTTCAGTTTAGGATTAATGGACCAGCATAGAAATTTGTTCCAATATATAAATTTTAGTCAAATGGACAGTGAAGTTAGTAGTTTATTCTATTCTTCTTGTTAGTCCTCAGTAGTAAAGCGTTATTTGTTTAATGATATTTTGAATGGTTCATTATTCATAGTCATGTCACATCGAAGTAGGTGTTCAACTGTTACCCATTAACCCTAATGATAATAGAACTTTTCAAATATGTGGAGCAATCATTCAATCATCACTGTTGCATGGACTGAATGTTGACTCAGTGAACAAAGATTGGTTGACTATTAATTTACTGAAGGTAAAGGAGTGTGGAGCGATGAGGTTACAGAATCCAGGTTCAAAAGTTGTTGAATGTCATTCAGTAATTAATACTGTATTACTATGTACTACTAGGTCAGATAAGCAAAGTAACATACGGTTGCACTCTACCTGAAAACTGAAGGACTATTAGGGAGTGGCTAAAACAGAACTCGGTAGCTGTCCTAAGGTTCTGACCAACATTCCCCCAGACACTTTCATTTCCAACTCAATGTGAAATTATCTAGTCAGTCTACTGTCATTCTTTCGGAACTGCACCGAAGGTTGCACTAATTGTTAATGAATGTCACTGAAATATGAGATGCTAGATATTATCGGTTCAATAAATCTTTATCAATCGATATTACCAGCACTCTTTTCATCCACATAATCTGAATTATATCTATATGAATCTTCAAGGTGAATGACGCAGTTTATTCATGAACCAGTCGTGACAACTATAACGATGAGATGAAATAATACAATAACTACCGCTTCATTGAACTGAGGTCGAAAACATATTTAAAGAAAACTTGACAGGTTACAACACTCAAGGGAATTCAGATAGGGATTCGGATAATTTTCGCAGATTGATGACTAATTTACTTTAGAGGATAACGAGATTTTTAAAAACTATCATATATCTATTGAAAGAACAAGTGAATTGTTAAACGTACTGAAGAATAAAATAATATGCCGGTGAAATTTTAGAAAGAATATAAAATTTTAAGTTTCCTATTAATGATCTCATTTTTACATCTGTATATGTAAATTCGGGAGAATACAAGACAAATTAGTCTGTTAAAATGAATGATTGGTTTTTAAATTATCGATACATTGTACTGCTTACCTTGGGGTTTTTACAGTTGAGCATTTTTTAGATGTTCATCTGTGGTGTCAATAGGGTTTTCTTAGGGCACAATAGAACAAATGATGATTTCTTATTTAGACTTCAACGACGTGCGTCGTTGAAAACCATTCACTCTGATATAAAAATTTCACTAATCAGATAAAAATGATCTAAGTATGGGATAGCTGTTTTTCCCTTGGCCATCCGTCATGAGTGATGCGAGTTCAAATCTCATGCAGGATATAAGTCTTGCTGACGAGTGTCAGTAAGTGCGAAACCCAGGTCAAGGAATGTTTCTAACCAATTACTTCCAACCAACTAAGATACTTTTAGTCCCACCATTTTAAAACTAACGCCTAATTAAGTAAAACCAAACTAGTGTGCAATCAGGTGAACTAAGTTGAAAGGTGTTTATACCGCATTATTTCTTTGATTCATAATTTATTCAAGTCGAATATCACAGCACTTATTTTGTCATTGAGTTACATAACTTTGAGATAGTCAAAAAATATCTGAGTACAACCATGTTATAAAAAGAAGGATAAAATTCATCGTAACGATTACTTATCTTTATTAATTATTAGCAGTTAAATAGATGTTCTGCTGGTTTATTAGTTTAATGTATATCGCAGGTTTCTGTTCATTAGAAATTGACGTAAACTTATTGAATGAGAGCTAACAATGTTACACCGAGTTCATCAAACTTAAGTAGATCTTGTAACCTTATCTAGGAGTTAAGTGTCTGTTTCTTAAGCCAATGAACTGTAATTGTGTAAAGGTTGATTAACAGTCACGACAATTTACAGTAGTTTGAACTATACCTCCAGAAGGTGTGTGCGCATTTGTTGTTTGTTATAAAACCTAATAATGTTGATTTATTTGCTCACTGATATGATATGCTGTAGGCATAACTGCTCTCTGATTTTTTTTATTGACTACCATATCTGATTACTTAATACTCAAAAAACAATTTAACAAAGACGGAACCATAAGTTTCGGTTAAATAACATTAGGATCTAGGCAATGTGGTAGAGTGTATAACTACATTATAGTTCTTCTGAATATACATCACACAGTGAAAAATTATTATATACTGGTGACATTTTTAGCAGAAAGTTGTGTGATCACTGTGGTATGCCTATGAGCAATAAATCCTGCTCGAACGTTATCTATTGAGTAATGCTGTTTCACTGTGTGTTACAAATTTAATAACCATAATGGAACGAAGACAGAATGATTGCTACTTAAATTCCCACCCGTTGGCATAAGACAATGCAAAATAAATATCATTGAGTGGTAAAAGATTTCAGACTTTTTATCTTGGTCCTAATTCTTAACATTCACTCCATTTTAAAGCCTCTTGACTCAGTAAAAACGAATATATATTCTAAAAAGCCACTGCTCACGAACATCTAAAGTTTACACAACTTCTTCACCATTTTAGACGGAGTATTGGAAGTATACAAAGATAACGCACTACTAGGAAGAATGGAAGTTGGTCGTGCCTTCGGCGAGTTAGCTCTGCTTTACAATTGCAAGAGAACTGCATCCGTTCGAGGTAAGCATTCTCTAAAATAGCAAACATTTTATGAAACCGCGAATACTAATTACTTGCAGTTTACTCTGTTCATAATTAGGTGTTGTCTTGTGTTCACAATAGAATGCAACCCACCTCATTACAGACAAAGGTTTGTCCCCATAATCCGTAATTAATTTACACCTTTTGTCACCACTGTTATTTATATGCACCTCGTATCAATAAGAAGATCAAAGGTGCCTCAGATTTATATGAAGTTATTTGTAAGGTCGAAGAAGAATTTAAAGGAAGAAATTACCGATGAGAATAATTCTTTAAATTCACCACCTTTTAGACAGCTTTTATTCGCTTATTATCAGCACTATTTAGGTAAAAATTTGCAAGCTACGGTATTCGACGCAGATTTGTATTGACGCCTTATTCTGTCATACATTGTAAAGCAGGAGACAAAAAGTAGTTGCTTTTTCACGTACAACTCTCTATGGGAGTATACATATTCACAGCTTTTTGTAACGAAGAACACAGTTTTCAACCTACTGGGAAGTGATATTTGTGATTTTCGAGACTTTTAGATAACTCGCTCTACTTGATGCTTCCTCCATTTTGTCAAATACGGATAGTGGTGATCAAGCACAGTTATTGAGATACCGAGTTCACATTTACGAGAAACAGTATGGACATTTATATCCCATCAATATTCTTTATCTGTGATGAATTTGTACACTGAATCTGTTATTGTGCACTTTTCTGTATAGCTGTAACAAACGCTTCGGCATGGACACTGGATCGGCGTGTTTTTCAGCAAATTATGATGGCTTCATGTATTCACAAACAAGAAGAAAATAAGAAATTCTTGAAAAGGTAAATTAATAGCTAATCTTAGTTTTATTTTGTCCAGCACACTGTTTGGTTGACAGATTACGATATCATAGAGGGATGATGATTCAGGATGGCAGGACAACTGAGCTGTCCATTGGGCTTTTAATCTAGTAGCTTGGAGTTAAGTTAGGATGTGTTTACCAGTTGGTGGTAGAACACCAGTTACAGTTCAGCTTCCTGTCATTTTTTGACACTGCTAGCAAATTATTTAGCAATAAATTTTTGTGATATGAAGCATACTGATATACACATAGTACAAGCGACCGGTATAATCTGAAGGGGAGTGAAATATTTCCTCTTATTTTCAGAACTCTCTGACATTAGTCCATAGTTATTTCTGAAGTTGAAAGCATGATCTCGAAGACTGGGAATTCATGTTATTGAATGCCAATTTCTAAGTACAATCTAGCCTAAATATTTTACGATATCATGTTGGCGATGATAAAGCTAAACACTCCTTGTTTCAAAATTTTTTCACCACTGGGCAACCGATGTAGCTGTCTAGTCCTTAGTACTTAGCACAGATAGATCAGGTTTGCAGTGTGACCACTACGCTCAGTGATTCGACATTGCGGTGTCCTGTATTTCGGAATTAGATATTTGGAGTTAATTTAAGGGAATCCTGATTGAACTAGGTTTCGTGCTTGTCGGCATTCATCAGACGGACATTTACAGTCATGAGAAGACCAACTCGACAGACATTAACTAGAGCTGTACACCAAGAACTAGACATCCACATCCGTTACCCAGTCGTGACTTTTTCGTATACATGATACAGTTCACTAAGGGTCGTAGCCTGGATACCTTAGTGGTAAAGTCTGTGATAACACTAAGTGGCATATGTCTGGTTTACTGAGAGAACACCAGGCATCCCATGCTTGAAAATGAACCCTGCTATGAGTGTCAAGAAGCACAAAACGAGGACCAAGTACGACTTCCTCTCCACTAACTCCTTACATCTAACAATGAAATCATTATTTCATTTTGTGGAAAGGAATATTTTCAGTTTGTTATTGAAAATGTTTTAAGCTGAACAAAAAGGCTCAGAACTCATACTGTGCCTTTGTTGGTAATATGACTGGTTTCAAAATGTGAAGAAACATATCTTGAAAGTTCTTATGAACGATTGACCTACCAGTGGTGAATGTTTTAAATATCTTGGGAATATCTTACAACTTCATATTAGAATTTGTCCGCTGTTATTACTGCCAAGCTTTTTTCACTGTTACTTCACTGCTGATCTATGCGATTGTACTTATGAAATTTAGAAGGCTAAAGATCACTGGCACAAAGACACATACTGCTAAAGGTGTGGTCTACTAAGAAGTTATGACATGCGAGGAAGACGCTTCTCGTGGCTAACGTTTTTTCACAAGTTGTTTGTTTGATATCACTTGTAAGCAAAAATTGTTTCAGTCAATCCGCTCTTCCGAAAGTAAATATCCTTTTACCTCAAAACTTATCGGTCAGATTTCTTGATTATGGTTGGTTACTTATGGGTAATTAATGACATGTTGCATGATCAACTGAGTAGACTAAATTCATAAAATCAACTTTACTTCTAGACATCAAGCATTAAAAAAAGCACATTTTGAGGTCGAAATTTTCAAAATAGTGACCACTTTGCACACTTTGTCTGTATAATTCGGTCAATATTAAAAATTAAGCAGCTTGATAGTGGTTGTTAGGGATTACTGACCGCTGTTAGGTATCTAACTGCCCATAGAATGACATGTATACTGATTATTTATGCACTCGGCTGTCATCTGCTGCTGCAAGACGTTGTAGGTGCGTTTGAGTGAAGGAAGAAATTTAAAGATATTTAGTTATAGACATGTTTCAAAGTATTGTTGTTGTGTACCGGTGATGTCGTGAAAAATGTTGAGTCAGGATGTACATCTTTGTGACAAGAGAAGTAGATTAGTCGATGGGTTTGTGAATTGGCCAGAACAGAAGTAACTAAGAAATATTTAGCACATACCAAGTTAGAGCAAAACCTGATATATGATGATGTCTGGATTAGAACTAGATTAGAAGAAAGCTAATGGTGGACACTGATTCATTCATTGCTTTTTTGAACGATGTAAGAAAATAATGACTATCTTACTGCTGTTTATAAGATCAACCTGTGACTCAGTTATCTTGTTAGAAACCGATTATAATGACTCTAATGCATTCACTTCTTATCGTTCTTAGAATCGTGAATGCACAGGTTTCCATTTTAAGTTAAGTTTCCATGTGGTTTAGCACATTTAAATTTGTACTACATTCTCTTTCTGCATTGTCGTGAATTCAAGGAGCCTGAAAATACGAGTAAGTGTTAAAAATCATGCTTGGTGCATATCTGTAGGTCAAAAGGATGAAGCGTTACTGAGCTTTATCAAGAGTTCTAATGAGCTTATCTGATAACACTATAGATAACAAATAGTGAGAGACTTGAAAAGCTCAAAAACAGCAAGCGTTGCAGGATAATATTTATTATTATTTTTTATTATTAGTCCCTTGGGTTCCTAGTGGAACATAGGGCTTCAGTAGCACGCCTCCAGTGACCTCTGTTCTCTGAGATCTTTTGAACCTGGTCCCACGACAGCCCAGAAGCTCTCATTTCCTCCTCGCACGACCTCCTCCATGTCACCCTCGGACGTCCAACTCGTCGCTTCCCATGGAGATTCCACTCGAGCAACTGGCCTGACGCGTGATGTCCTCAGTCGGCCTTCTCAGTGCATGGCCAATCCATCTCCACTTCTTCCTGCATATTTGTTGCGTGATAGGTTCTTGGTTGGTTCGTTACCCGGCCAGAGCTCCTTGTTGCTTATTCTTCCTGGCCATCTGATCTTCAGCAGCGAGCGTAAGCAGTTGTTGATGAATGTCTGTAGTTTATTGGAAATACCTTTCGTGACGCGCCAAGTCTCTCAACCATCACACAGAAGCACTGACTTGACGTTGGTGTTTGAAATCCGTATCTTGTTCCACATGCTGAGTGCAGAAGATCTCCACACTGGTTTCAGGCTAATGAACGCCTGTCTTGCTTTTCCGATTCTGACTTTGACGTCCTCGTCCGTCCCGCCTGTAGTTGAAACAGTGCTTCCTAGATAAGTGAAGGAGGTTACTTCCTTTAAGTTTCTCCGTTGACGGTGATTGGAGTTTGTTGTTGTTGTTGTTGATGGTGGTGGTGCGGTATCTTCATCACCTCTGTCTTCTCTATATTCACCTGAAGTCCCGTCTTCGCTGCCTCTTCTGTCAACTTGTTAGTTTTTGCCTGCAGATCTTCAAGTTTATGTGACATTAGGCATAAGTCATCGGCGAAATCCAAGTCTTCTAGGTTCTTTTCCGTCGTCCAGTGTATCCCCCTCTTCTCGCTGCCTACTGTTTGCTGCATGATCCAGTCCACCACAATCAGGAATATCATGGGGGAGGGGGGGGGAGTTGAATCTTGCTGTCATGATCAAATAATATTTACTCGTGTTTATTACTTCATTGATACTTCCCAGCTGCTTACAACCTAAATAATATCTAAATGTATACATTACATGTGTCTACATCCCAGTGAATGACGTTTTCCAGCCGAGACCGGTGGCAGACACACTAGGCACAATAGATACCTCTGATTAATTTGGAGAAAAAAACTTTTATTGACTGGATCATCCAATAATATAAATAATAAATAATGTAAACAATTAAAGCAGAGAAAATCTTTAAGCATATGGGATGAAGATTGACTGTTTATAGGTTTACTAGGTGAATAGTCTTGAAGAGGAAGGCTCATAGGTGGATGGAAAATAATTATGGTGGACTTCGCATCTTCAGAAATGTTTTTAGTTTACAAATTCTTGACGAGTAAGATGAACAGAGTTGAAGGTTTGAAATAGAGCGGAAATTTTCAAGATAAAATGATTACACAAAAATATGCACTGCTCAAGTTTATAAATGAGACGAACTGCATGAAGCTTTCAAAAGATGTTGATAAAGAATGACTACCTGTTGTAATTCCCCAAAATACAGCATCAGAATAAAAGACTACCAATACCGATGTTCCTGGTGGTGTTCTGAAAGGTTCAACAAAAAATTTCCACTAAACCACTGAAAGTGTACCTTTGGAAATGCTTTAACAGTTATCATCAGTATGCCTTTTCAAATCTGATGCTTCTTAGTTGAAGGCAAATATCCATATAATAGACCTATTTTCGTGTATATGTTTGTTTGAAACCTGTAGTTCTGTTTGATTTCCATCAAAAGACAACTTTCTAGAGTGGATTTCGCTGAACGACTCAGGTCATTTCATGGTAGAAGGAAGAGGAAAATTGGTCTACATCATCTATTCCACGACTGTCTGGGTGATACAAGTTACTTTAATGACCGATCTAATGCTTCACAAGTCTGCAACAGTCTTACTTCTTCAAACCACTAAGCTACATTTAACTAGACAGCATTTTCTTGGGCTCAATTTTATACACGTCCTTTTTTTATTCTTTTTTAATATATATCCTTAATATTTTAATCTTGATTATTTCCATGAAGATGCTCAGACCAGACTTTCATTCAAAACTTTGTAGTTATTTCATTTCAAACACGCTGTGATTTACACAAATACAAACTATATCTATTTTCAACCTTTTACTCAGAGTCCAATATTTACCATACTATTCAGTTTATATGAAGTCTTATTTCCATTGTGACTTTTAGAAGTATTATTTTTGGCTGATGAGACTTCTTATCCCAAACGTAGGCACAATATGAGATTTGTTTTTATTAGACAAAGGAGAAAAAGATATACAGGGTAAAATGAATCCATCGTATTTCATGGTTTCACTTCTTTTACCAGAATATTGAAATGGACTGTATCTTCACGGATGAACGAGACAAACACGTGTTGTGAAGTTAGATGAATAAGCAAATAGAGTTAGTAGTGTTCTAGTTATCAATAGAAGGACTATTTTCGAATTTATCTATTTCAAATTTTTACAAGAATTCAGAATGATGGC